GCCATTCTCTGGAAGAAGAGCACAGCCTTTAGCCTCATAGCGTTAGAAATAGCTTTCTGTATTTTCTGAGAAAATGCTTTAGAAGAAGTCCCTGTAGGTTCAGATTTACTTTTTTTTAAAGATTTACTTACTTATGCATACAAGAACTGGGGTAGAGGCCAGAGATGGGGTGGGGGGAGGTGAGAGGATTCACCAGAGCAGAGTGGGGAGCAGAACAGGCAGATGAACTGAGACACACTGCTGAGGGGCACAGTGTGGGCAACACAGGGGAGGTCTATCATGCCATGTGGATCACATTCCTGGCTGGGGATTGAATTCATGCAGCAGTGGCTACAGTAGCTTCATAGTGCTGAGCTCCAACACATTGTACCACCAGGGAGGGCTCAGTTTATATTTAATTTAATCATTTTCTCATTGGGTCCTTTTTGATATTATTGGGATCATTATAAAGATCAGCTTTATTTGCCTTCCGAGGCTTTGCTTCAGTGCACACAGGTGGCGATAAATGCGTGGAAGCAGCTACCGGCTAGAAAAATTAAAACATCTAGTTTGAGTAACATACAATAAACCAAAACCAGGTACTAAACATCATTACATGAAAAGAAAATACAAATAAGTACAACCAAAAAATACCAAGTCAAGCCCACTAGTGTGATAAAATTCAAAAGACTGAGCATACCAACATTTTGGCAATTTGGGGAAATAAATGGAATGCTTATGTATTAATACTGTGAGCCAAAAATAACACAACCATTGTGGAGGGCTGTTTTACTGTTCTACTAAAATCAAACATACATATTCCTTACATTCCTAATATTCCACATTTGTATATCTACTCAAGATAAATAAAAATCTTTGTCTACAAAGGATTCACCCAGAAGTGCCAACATCAGTTTTACATAGTGGAGCTCAAAACTGGGTGAGAGTGACTGACAAATAGAACAGGGGTGAAAAAAGAAACTTAGAATATCCATAAAATGAAATACCCCTCTGCTATCAAATAATTATCATATACACAATAATAAGTATTAGACTCAAAAGCTTTGATGATTGAAAGGGAAGGATTATATTACTTTTTGAAAAAGTACAATTTTATTTATGTTAAGTCGTGAACAGGAAAACTAAGAAAACACAAGAGTGATATTTTCAATCTGACTGAGAAAGAACATAAAATAATTTTTGGGTGATGAGATTGTTCTATTTCTTGACAGTGGATAACAGAAGAGGAATTTGATATGCAAAAAAAGGTTCTAAAATTGTGTTCTAAAATGGAATGGTAATAAATGCATATGTAATCTATAAGATGCAAGATGAACAAGTGTTTTTTAAACTGAATGATAGATTTGAATTTTAAACAGGAAAGGAACTATAAATTGTTAAGCATTATAAGTGTAATGTAGTTTATATAAATAAAAAGTGTAAGTGTTGGTGTAGTATTTAATTTTAGGAAAGATCTGTAACACTGAGAAGATGCATACACTAATCATAAGATTATCAACCACTAAAGCAACTCAGGACAAAGTATGGCATCATATCGTTAAGGTGAAGAAGTGTATCCCAAGATCCTTAACTGCACTCCCATTGTTCAACCCCATATAGAAACTTTGTTACATGTGCACCAGATTGTATATACCTAATGTGTATATAGCTAGACTTTTTACGTACATATGCCCGTCGATAATAAAATGGATTTTCAATTATGAAGTTTCTCAACCATATCACATAGATGTCCCCATTAAGCAAATAATATGTTAGAACACTTTGAAAATATATGAATTAAAGGTGTAAAGTTTCAAGGGCGCATACAATTGTTAAAGCTCCTTAAATGTGAGCAGTTTCCTCATGTAAAATGTAACTCAATGAAGTTAATTTAAAGGCAATACAATAAGTAGAAATACAAAAATATGAGACTATCTTATTCTGAAGAGAATAGTGTTTTTGTTCTAATGAATTTTTGTGATCTACGTTCATTCTCTCCTGAGGCTGAGTTGTCTGAAAAGCTCAAGCCTTTGTTGTTCAGCCTTCAACTTGACTATCTCTCCTAATGTTAGAACTGAATACAGTAAACTTTTTCATTCCTTACCCTGGTCTTATTTTAAACTTTTTTTAGGATGCTTTAATAAAAATGAGGATCCTTAGTAACTAGCAATAAAAGAAGCTTTCCTTTTGTTTTGCTAACCTTTTATTATAATATAAATAGAAATGTTAGTTATAACTATATGAATTAATGTGCCTGCTTTATCATTAGTAAATTGTTTGTCCAGCTACAAAAAAATAATAGTAATAACATTTTGCTTCTTAGCAGTGCTTTTCTTAAAAAATAAGTGTTACAGACTTGGCCAAAGATCAGAAGACTTCAAACTGTTCTTAGGAATATGTGATAGTTGTTATTTATTTACATTTTTTCACTCAATGCATATGCTGATGTAATCCCATGGCTTGAAAACATAAAATAAAATAGACCTGCTGAGACTGGCAACTGAGGACACTTGCACCTGAACGAATATTTGTATCCCTCATTCACCTTCACAGATGCTGTCATTTCCCACAGGAACCTCTGTCACCCCAATTGTTAGAGCTGTTCTCCGGGTAATTATGTCTTCTTTTGTTATGGTCTGTTGAAGTATTGTGTTTACTTTTTAAAAAGTGAGTTTTTTTTTTTTTTGCAGAGTTGGAATAGTACACACACACACACTATATGTATACATATATATATATATTTCTGTGCTATGACTGAAATGATTACTTCTTTGATCATTTCACATCTATATAGCAGTATGAATTTTCAATTTATGGCACATGAATAAAAACAGAAAATCTTTTTTTCTCATAACTGAATATCTATCTGGAACCTGAATGTGCTGATGACAAAAACACTATCTATTTAATTATATATATATACACACATATATATACACACATGTCTGTATGTGAGCACTACCTTATACTAATTAATGCAACTTTGAAGTCAGGAATTATACTCCTCCAATTTTGTTCTTTTTAATAAAATTCTTTGACTATTGTATGTGTTCTGCATTTTCAATTATACTTTAGGGATAGTTTTTCACTTTTGCAAATAGCCTGGGATTTGATAGTGATTGCATTAAATATACAGATCATTTCTTCACCTACAAAGATGTTCCTTTCATTTGATTTAATTCAGCTGCTCCTCTTCCTCAGCTAACTCTGGGATGTACATCAAACCTAAACCTGACAATTGTTGCAGGAGGAAAACCTGCCTTTTTCAACCTGTGGCAATATACTGGTAAGTGAAGTTCTGGTAGTTGAACTTTGAAATGTCAACCATACAGTTTCAAATAATTTACAATCCTGTATTTGTTGTTTCTGGACAGGCAAATGAAAGCACTTTACTCAAATGGTGAACTTACTCTTCACAGAGACCCCTGAGGAGAATAATGTCACAGAGACAGAGAGTTGCCAAGCACACAGTCCTGGATCAGGGCAGGCCCGTCCAGTCTTGGCGGCCTGCATCTAAACCCCCTACTGAAAACAAATGTAGTATAAAAAGCTGGAGAAATTGTGGCATATAGCCTCAATGGCATACAACTCAGCTACTAAAAAAGTTGAAATAGTGCCTTTTGGAGACAAGATGGGTGAAACCTGAGGTGATTATGTATGTGAATTAAGTCAGAAGGTGAAAGACAGCTCCTGGGTGGTTTCATTTATTTGTGGAATGGAAATAACCAAAGAAAACAAATAGGCAAAACAAAATCATTCTTAAGAGTCTATGCAAATCACACTGGTTACCAGAGGAAAGGGGAGGAGGAAAGAGAGGACCAGGAGAGGAAGCAGAAGGCACCTTGGCACTGGAGTTTTGGTGAAGATAAGTGAAGTGTGTGCCTATATATGAAGCGTGGGGATATGAAAATGCACCCCCAAAATGATATAGTTATGTAAATGACTGACAAACTGAGGGGAAAAATTACAAAACTTGAAACTGAATAAAACCCAAGGGTAGAGGTTGGATTTTACTATTAGTCTTAAATATATTAAGAAGCCAAAAATGAATTAAACAGAGAAAACAAAGTTAACTATTAATATACAAAGAGTCTAGTGTGGAAACCACATGTTCTTTTGAGTTTCTGGGAATATGTATAAAATTTTTGAGTATTGTATTTGCATAACTAATATTTAAATAACAAATAGAATCAAGATGGAAACTATCAATTAAAATCTTAAAACTTGAAAGGTGTGTTGAAAATTGGACTGAGAAACATGAATGAGAGAAACATGCATTTAAATCCAAATCACCTCCCAGACACTCATTTTCCATGTTATAAATTTTCAATTTATGGGACAATAATTTCTTTCATCCATGATATTTTTCAATATGGGTATTGAAAAATAAGATTATAATTAAATATTGCTCATTAACAACCAGCCGTTAAGCAGCACTTGCCTTCACTGGGGCCCAAGAAAACTTCCATGGGAAATCTTGGATCCTTTCCACATAAATCTGACATGTCAGATTGAATGTAACAATCCATAGAGATGATGATGCTATTTACAGCCCAGCTTCATCTAACAATGAATCTGACTTTCCCTAGCCAATCAATATATTGGGTTTTAAAATTTCACTAAATGACAAAGCTGATAACACAAATTATGGAGAGGTTAAACAAGGGGAAAATGCAAAACAATGAAAGAGAATATGTCTTTATTTGCATGTTAGCAAATAAGAATTCAACTTTCACATCCCCATTAGCAGTAAATTATTCCAGCTTACAGCAAGGACAGAAATCACATGGTTAGGAATTGATTTAAGCTCTTTGGTGAATAACAGTGATTTTTTTTTTTAATAACATCATCAAACTCATCTATGAGCAGACTGGCACTTTCCTGTTTGAGACTGGGCAAAGAATTGAAAAGAAACAAGGACTTAACTGCATTTTCAGAAATTGCACATAGAATTTAAGAAGAGAATATTAAAAGATCACAATCAGTGATGTTAGACTTAGCTTTTTTTTTTTCTAGATAGGATGACCTTCTTACTGAACATTCATTTCATCCTAATAATGATAGTATTTATTGCAGGAAATTTGGCCAATGGCTTCATAGCTCTGGTGAACTGCATTGACTGGGTCAAGAGGCAAAGGTTCTCCTCAGCGGATGGAATTCTCACTGGTCTGGCGGTCTCCAGAATTGGTTTGATCTGGATAACATTAATAAATAGGTATGCAACTGTGTTTGTTTCAGCTTCCTATACTTTAGAAGTGAACGTTATTGTTAATCTTGCCTGGATAACTTGCAACCATCTTAGCACCTGGCTTGCTACATGCCTCAACATATTTTATTTGTTCAAGATAGCCAATTTCTCTAACCTTCTATTTTTTTATTTGAAGAGGAGAATTAAAAGAGTGGTTCTAGCAATACTGTTGGGGAGTTCGGTCTTTTGGATTATGCATGTTGCTGTGACGAGTGTAGAAGAAGATGTATGGACAAGTGAGTATGAAGGGAACACCACTGGGATGAGCACTGGGAAGGAAATGATACGCTTTTCCCACATGACTGTCGTTACAGTGGTGAACTTCATACCCTTCCTTATGTCCTTGGCATCTTTTCTGCTGTTAATCTTCTCTCTGTGGAAACACCTCAAGAAGATGCAACTCAGAGGCAAAGGGTCCCCAGACCCCAGCACCAAGGTCCACATCAGAGCCATGCAGACTATGGTCTCCTTTCTCCTGCTCTTCACCATTTTCGTCCTGGCTCTCATCATCTCCCTTTGGAGCTCAAACAAGCTCCAAAACAAACTATCCTTAGTGTTTTGTGAGAGTCTTTTAGTCCTGTATCCTTCAAGCCACTCATGTATCCTGATTTGGGGAAACCAGAAGCTAAAGCAGGTCTGTATGTCACTTCTGAGGCAGCTGAACTGCTGGCTGGAGGAAAGGAAGCAGGTGGGAGCTCCCGAGTCTTTGTGCAGAAAGCAAACTGGAGTCTAACACCTAGAGTCCTCCTGCTTCTTCTCATATGTATGTAGTGTGTAACTCCTGAAATGTATATAAAGCTTTTTCGCCTAAGCCTATCACAAAAATACATAGGTAGGTGTTTGTGAAAAACATAAGGTTAAGATTGATGTAGCATTAATTGACTTTTTTCCATATAGTAACTGAACGTTTCAAGTTATTCTAACAAATTCCCCAGGATTATGAAGTTATGTGTATTTCACAGACATATCGCATGTGTGCTTTCATTAAAGAATTTGTGATTTATATTTACAATATTATTAGCACATTCTGAAGACCCAAATCACCAACTCAGGAAACTCCTCCTTTGTATTGCGGTCAGTGCCTCACTTATTTAACATAGCGTGTTCAGACTGCCTGTTGGTTGGTCCTGAAAGTTATTCCTCAGTCACATGCTGAGAATGTTTGTTTGGGCAGATGTTACTTCATGATGAAAACTTACATCATGGCAATGAGAACTGTTATGAAAAAATACACACAAAACTCAGGAGTAACAAGCATATTTAGAGTCGATTCTATATCCTTGTACAATAATAAGCAGTGCTGAACAATAGCCAATTTAATGCAGTAGCTGAGGAGCTTAGAAAGGATCAAGGTCTACAATGAGGCTGAAGAAGAAAGAAAAATGACCATGAGCTCTTCTCAATGTCACTTCATATCCATACACAGTTAGAAAAGTTGTTTTGTCCAGTTTTCACATTAAAAAGATTTTCTGAAGTACGATCTGGTGTTAAGTTATTTTGTTTTGGGATGAGGAGGCTTGGAACCCGGAGCTCACACTGACCTGTAATGCGGGGATAATGACCGGATAATGCGGGGCTCTTCTGAGCAGTCAAGGTGGGACAACCACCCCATCACCTGCCTGAGAGAGGTTCTGCCCAGCTCTACCTTGCCGCGGGCCTCCTGGCTGCTGATGGGGCAGGGTTGCTGATAGGAGCAGCCCTGTCTGCTGCTGCTGGGAGCCTAGTTCCTCTCCCAGAAAAGGGCGAGGCTCCAAGAAAAAGTCAAGGCTGATGGGCTGACCATCTTGCAACAAGGGGAAGAGTGGGAGTGGTGAAGAGAGGAGGGAGACACGGTTGGGGAGGGGGTTGTATGTGGCTGGGTGATTGGTGGGAGGGCCACACATTTGGGGGAACCATGACTATGAACCACCATGTAAAATCAGTAAATAAATAAATATATTATTAAAATAATTATTTTTGCAAAAGTTATGGGTGATACAATACCATTACCACATATTAAAATGGTATCTATGATGACTGTGTAATACAAAGCATGTCTTCAATTTCTGTTTATTATAATTTTGTGGAACATAATGAAATGGAAAATATGTTGATATATTATTGATAGCAAGTTTTATAAAAAATTTATAGCTTTGTTCAGTGCTTTCATTTACATCAATATTAATTCTTAGTAATATGAAATTTTAATAGCTATATTTAAACATTAAGATTCACATCTGATTTCTCTCTTTTTAAAAGATTTATTTATTTATACATACAAGAGCTGGGGTGTAGGCTAGAAGTGTAGGGGGGCAGGCAGTAAGAGGATTCACCAGAGACAGAGTGGGGAGCAGAAAATGCAGCTTGGCAAAGTACATTGCTGAGGGGAGCAGCGGGCAGGTCAGGAGAGGTCTGCTGGGCCATGTGGGTCAGCTCCCTGGCTGGGGATGGAAATCTTGCTGCAGTGACCCAGGATAGCTTTGTAGTGCTGAGACTTAACCCCTTGCACCACCAAAGAGGTCCCTGTTGTCTTTGTTTTTAATCCATGTGATGTATGTTCATGTCCATCTTTCCTGCTGAGTTTCTGAACATAAAAGTCAACCCATGGAATAGTTGGGCAAAATGATATTCCAATGACAAAAGAAATGAATGGGTAAACTATATTAGGACTGGAAAACCAATAAAAACAACACCATTGACATAATCTGCAGGTGACTTAAGTTTCCCGGTTCTTCTTCACCACTTAAGAGTCAATAAGTAAATCTGTGGTTCTATGTTTCAATGATTATATTAATGGGTAAACAAAATGTTGTGACAAATAGTAAAGATTTCCTGAAGTAAATTGACTTAAACACATTGTAAATTTAATTTATTCTTTTAATAGTACCTTCTCTATTAATTTATCCAGGAAGTCAGGCTGTTCAACAATAATCTCAGCTTTAACATATGACTTCCAATGTTGCCTTGAGGTCATCTCCTTATAGACTCTCTGGAGGAAAAGGTAAATGGAAGAGTGTGCATAGGGAGATTTTTGGAATTGGCCTATAAATGGTGCAAATAATTTCCACTCACATGACATTGTTCTGATTCCCATTACATTGCCACAAACTGCCTATAAAGGAGTCTGAGTAATACAGTCTTTCTAGATAGAAGGGAGAACATGGAATTTGGCACACAGGATATTATTTAGCCATAAAAGAGGAATGCAATCTTGACATTAGCAAAAAAACACAGAATGATCACAAGGTCATTCTGTTATGTAAAATACATTAGACAGAAAAGATAAATACCACATGATCGCTCTTTTATGTGGAATCTAGAGCACTTAAAAAATAAACAGGGCCCTCCCTCGTGGCACAGCAAGTTAAAGCACAGCACTAAGAAGCTAAAACCACTCCAGCATGCGTTTGATCCTGCCCCAGAGGTGACCCACATGGCTGGCAGACCTCTCCTGGCCCGCCCGCTGCTCCCCATCAGCAGTGTACTTCATAGATCTGCCTGCTCTGCTCCCCACTCTGTCTCTGGTGAAGCCTCTCACTGCCCCTGCATCTCTGGCTTGTTCCTCAGCTCTATATGCAGAAATAAATAAATCTTAAAAAAAATTAAAAATCTCCTTAGCTGAATGGTAAGGAGGAGATCCAGACTCTCACATCTGCCCTCAGTCAGGACTCAGAAAGTAGCTGTGGGCGAAGCAATGACGTGAGGACTTGCTGGCCATAGACCAGTGGCCACAGCCGGGCCAGCTGAGGAAAAGGCCAGATGGAGAAAGCGAGCAGACTCAAGGGATCTGATGTCACGGCGGGGAGCTGAGGTGGGGGAGACTCAGGGGTAAAGGGCAAAAACTCCTCGAGCTGGAAAAAGAGCAGATCACGAGTTACCCAAACAGAACATTCCAGAAGCAGACGGAAGGACAGAAGCTGCCAGACCTAAGACAAAATCGCTGTGCTGTGTGTGTGCACTCTCTCCATCCGGGTGGGGTCCCCGCCCTTCCATCTCTGGGCACGCAGGGGCTTTAAAGAGTCCCAAAGTGTCTCTTGTGAAGGAAGAAAAGTCCTTCATTAGCCTTGGTGGCTAGTTGGAACTTGAAATTAGCTGAATATTTTCTCAGAAGAAACTTTGACATTAAAAAGCGATTTGGCAGAAAGGACAGTCACCTCTGATGGCGCTGCATGGCTCTGCCGCTCCAGCTCACACCCTTCACTCAGAGCGCGCTGGACAGGAAGACACTGGCCTCTGTACACAGCTGAGCTCAGGTGTGCATTGTGGACACGTCACCCCCTCAGCACCCACATCGACCTGTTAATCATAACTTTCAAAGTTTCCCTAGGGAGAAGTGCAGCCAAGTAATAAGCACTTAAGAAGAAAAAAGCAAGTAGTGCGTACAGCTCTGTAAAACATTTAGCCTGTTAAGGCCCTCCCTGGTGGCACAGCGGGTTAAAGCGCAGCACTAAGAAGCTAAAGCCGCTTCCGCATGAGTTCGATCCTCCGCCAGGGAGCTGACCCACAGGGCGCAGCACACCTCTCCTGTTTCCCTGCTGCTCCCCTCAGCAGTGTTCTTCAGTACATCTGCCTGTTCTGCTCCCCGTTCTTTCTCTGGTGAATCCTCTCACGGCCCCTGCATCTCCAGCCTGTACCCCAACTCTGTATGCACAAATAAGAAAAAAAATTAGCCTGTTTAACCCCATCAAAAAATGGGCAGTAGAGCTAAAAAGACACTTCTCCAAAGAGGAAATGCAGATGGCCAATAGGCATATGAAAAAATGTTCAACATCACTCGTAATAAGGGAGATGCAAATTAAAACCACAATGAGATACCACCTCACCCCAGTGACAATGGCACATCTTCAAAAAACTAGCAACAACAAATGTTGGCGAGGATGTGGTGAAAAAGGAACTCTCCTGCACTGCTGGTGGGAATGCAAACTAGTACAACCACTATGGAAAACTGTTTGGAGGTTCCTCAAACTGCTAAACATGGAGCTTCCCTATGACCCAGCAATCCCACTCCTAGGTATCTACCCAAAAGACACAAAAATACTGATTGAAAAAGATACTTGTACCCCCATGTTTATTGCTGCTTTATTTACAATTGGAAAAACATGGAAGCAGCCCAAATGCCCAAAAGTAGATGACTGGATTAGAAAGATGTGGTACATATATACAATGGAATATTACTCAGCAACCAAAAAAGGGAAACACATGTCTTTTGCAGCAACTTGGATGGAGCTGGAAAAGATCATGCTTAGTGAGATAAGCCAGAAAGAGAAAGAAAAATACCGGATGGTTTCACTCATAGCAGGAGTATAATGGACCATGTGGAAAATAACAAAAATAATGAACAACCATATACCAGAGACATTTTGTGGGGGTGGAGTGGGGAATGGGATCAAAAATGGGGTGGAGGGAGGGAAATGCAAGGGATTATGGTGATTGCACATGGGTGACTTGGTGATGGGAAACCCGCGGGGATTACAATTGAGATGGAAAAAAAATGTACAAAATGATGTAAAAATAAACTTTTGTAATAAAAAAAAAGTGCCTTCATTACAGTTATGGTTTCCATGGTTGTATGCTTATATCTAAACACATCAAGTTGTATACATTAAATATGTACAGCTTTTTGCATGTCAATTATACCTAAGTAAAACCTCAATAATGCAGTTTAAAAAAAAATTAGCCTGTTTAAAAAATTCTGAGAGGGTATATACTTCCCTATTCCACGTTCATAAAAAAGTATCCCTTTTTCTTGCAAGCTTTGTTGTTTTATCTCTTATATTATGGCTATAAAACAGAGCCTGGGACCAGAGACACGAAGCAGTCCTTGGGGTTTCTTTCTAGGTAATTGGCTGAGATCCCCTGTTGAAAACAAGTATATGGTAAAGACTGACACCGAAGAAGGCCAGGATAGAGGTAGATATGACCATCTATTAATCTCAAAAAGTACTCAAAATGATTACTTGAATAGAAAAAAGTAAAAATCAAATAATTATATGTGGATATATGCTTAAAATCTGACATGGAATCCACATGCATTATTGAAGTGCTCAAGGATTATTTAAAAAATCCCTGGATTTTTTAATGATCTATTAGTATTTAGATAATATACTAAAATAAAAGTTTTCATTAAAGTGTGGAACATGAGTTACAAACAATGGGTTGAGAAGTCTATGTAGGAGAAAGTGGAGATTTAATTAAACCTGGAACTCTCTCTAACACTGACTTTACACTAGGAAGTTATGCTATGTTAACTTCATTCATGCATCAGATATACATCTAGTTAGCCTGGAAAAAATAAAGTTAGGGCCTTCTTGGTGGCCTCGAGGTTAAATCTCAATGCTGTCACCTCTATGGATTGATTTTGATCCCCAGTCAGGGAAGTGACCCACATGGTGTGGCAGACCGTTCCTGTCTCACCTGCTGTCCCCGTCAGAAGTGTATTTCAATCTGCCTGTTTTGCTCCCCAATCTGTCTGACGAATCCTCCCACCACCCTCTGCCCCTGTGACTTTGGCTGACACCCTAGTTCTTCTACTAAATAAATAAATAAAGTTAGACATAAATATTCTTTTTTTGGCAAATAGCTTTTAGGGATTATTGACCTCACGAAATTCTTGAATGCTTTTCATGGAAAAGCATACTTCCTTCATTAACCTGACATTGAAAGCAAAAATTCAAAGTAATGGTAATCCTAGTTACGACCAAGAGAAATCTCTTAATTTTGAATTTCATTGTCTATTCTATGTACTGATTTTTAAATGTTACTAACAACGAAGATGATGAATGCAAATTACGGAGACGTTGAACAAGGAAAAATACTGCAAAAGAGTGTGTCTGAATTTGCATGTTAGCAAATGAGAATATAGCATTCAACTCAACTCAGCTCAACTCAACTAATCCAGCCAGACACACACAGTGTGTAACTTAGAATCTGTTTGAGTTAGAAGGAAAATTGCTGTTTTTTATAAAGACAAATCAATCTTGTATTGCATACTCTGTTGTTTTCTTGTTTCAGGTTGGTGACAGAACTTAAAGGAAATTAGAATTTAACACACATTTCAAAATCAGCCACATATAAACTTAAAGTCTAAAATCACTAGTATTGATTTAGATGTGGATTTTTTTTTTTTAAGACATGATAATGTTGAGGATTCTTTTCATCCTAGTAATGACCGGATTTGTTCTGGGAAATTTGGCCAATGGCTTCATAGTGCTGGTGAACTGCATTGACTGGGTCAAAAGACAGAAGTTCTCCTGGACGGACGGAATCCTAACTGGTTTGGCGGTCTCCAGAATTGGTTTGCTTTGGGTAATATTATTTTATTCTTATGCATCTGTGTATAATTCAGTTCTACTAATCTTAGGAATAAGAACTATTGTTAATATTATGTGGATAGTAAGCAACCATTTTAATAACTGGCTTGTTACAATGCTCAGCATATTATATTTGCTCAAGATAGCCAACTTCTCTAGTCATATTTTTCTTTATTTAAAGTGGAGAGTTAAAAGTGTACTTCTCACCATAATGTTAGGGAGTTTGCTCTTTCTGGTGACTCACTTTGCAATGGAAAGCGTGTGTGAGAATATGCTGACAAACACGTCTGAGGGAAACATGACTTGGAAGATCAAATTCAGAGCCGTCATCTGCCTGTCAAGTACGACTGTTTTCACTTTAGTCATTGCCATACCCTTTACCATGTCCCTGATATCTTTTCTGTTACTAATTTTCTCCCTGTGGAGACATCTCAAGAGGATGCAGCTTAGAGGTGAAGGGTCCCAAGACCTCAGCACCAAGATCCACCTCAGAGCTTTGCAAACCATCATCTCATTTCTCTTGATGTTTGCTCTTTTCTTCATGGCTCTCATCATCTCTGTTTGGAGCCCTAGTCACGTCCAGAGCAAACCCATCCATCTGTTATGCCTGGCTGCAGGAACTCTGAATCTTTTGATCCACTCACTTATCTTGATTTGGGGAAACCAGAAGCCAAAGCAGGCCTGTGTGTCATTCCTGAGGCAGCTGAGGTGCTGGCTGAAGAAAAGGAAATAGGTGGGAGCTCCAGAGACTTCATGCAGAAAACAAACTGGTAAAGTCTAACATCTTATAGTCCTACCGCTTCTTCTCATGTGTATATAATTGTGTAACTCCTGAAAGTGTATGTAGAAGTCTTTCGCCTAAGCTTGTCACAAAATCCGTATATGTATGTTTATGAAAAAATAAAGAAGATTGCAAGACTAACAAACCATTCACTATGATTTTCCAGATAAACAATCTAATGTCACAAAATGTTGTATGAAATCCCTTATGATTATGAAGTCATGTGAATATATATGTATATATATATATATATATATATATATGTATATATATATATATATATATATAAGTTAAGTTATCTTCTCATGGAAGACTCCTTGACTAATAATTTTGCATTTTAAAGACTGAAGCTTATCTCAGGATATCATTGCTATTTCCACTGTAGCTGGCACCATACGTAACACAGTATGTTTAGGTTTCATTGTTTGAACTACCAGTCTTTTGGATGGTCATGAAAGCCAATTCCAAATCACACATTGAGGATAGATGTCTGGGACAGATGCTCTTCCTTCCTGAGTTCTTATTTAGTAGTTTACAGAGACCAATGAATAGCATTGTTAGTAAAAAAGGCACACAATGAAATTTAAGAGTGACAAATCTATTAACAGCAAGATTTTATGTATGAATGCTAAGCAGTGCTGAAGAATTTTAGATCATAAAAAGAACTGAAGAACTGAGGAAAAGAGCAAGGTCTACAATTGGGATGAGGAGAAAGAGAAATGACTCAGTGACTTAGACAGTTAGGAAAGTCATTTCTTCCAGCTTTGAAATAAGAGAAGCTTATAGGAAGTGAGCTATGTCATCGAATTATTTGGTTTCCCCCAAACCACCTCTGGGTCTCTAAATTGCCATTCTCTCCCCTATCATGCCACCTAAGAATTACTTTAAATTTCAGATAAGAAAACTTAATTATGCCCTGTCTTTTAAAAGTGTTTATATTAGAACAGTAGAATATATGGTATATGATTCAACAACCTTTAGGCATATACAAATAAAGTGTTTTGCACAAGCTATGCCATTATGCCTTCTACAGGAAGGGCTTCTTTTGTTTTACAGTAGCCTTTGTCAATTTTCATGGAATGTTTCTAAGGGCCCTCCAATTGCAGGTCCCAGATGCCATGTTCTCCTCTTCTCTGGGATAGACAGAAATGCTGTTTCTCCCTCACAGATGTACAAGCTAATGTAACTGAAATCTCAGCATTGTCTTGCAGGGAGAAATTATGTACACACTTACAGGCCCATCTCAAGTAAGTCCATGCTCATGCATACACCCTTCTCCCCCAGCCATCCTTCTAAAATGGAGGTGACTCCATGACAACCTTGAAGACAATTGTTAAAAGTGTGTGGTTTTGATGATACCAATGCAGTGGAAAACTGCATAAAGAAGTTCCCCCAGAAACTGTTAAGAGCCAATTAAATATGTATTATGTTTGATTCACTATATATTAGTAACCACATTTTGGCTACTCAGTCTAATGCATTCTTGAAAATTGGAGTATGCAAATTTGTTTAGAGAGATTTGAATGATGAAGATATAAACCAGGATGTCCATGAAAAGCATAGATATTGTGCTTGGCTTCATTTTCTTTTTCTTTCTTTCTTTCTTTCGTTCTTTCTTTTTTAAAGATTTTATTTATTTATGCATACAGAAATGGGGTATAGGCCAGAGGTGAGTGTGGGGAGTGAGAGGTTCACCTGAGACAGAGTGGGAAGCAGAACAGGCAGGTTGACCAAGTACACTGCTGATGGGAGCAGCAGGCGGGTCAGGAGAGGCCTGCTAGCCACGTGGGTCACCTCCGGGGCGGTGATCGAACTCGCACTGCTCCTCTGGCCTATATGCCAGTTCTGTATGCATAAATAACTAAATCTTAAAAAATAAAGGGAGAAAATCATTTTGATCAACTCAGTGAACTAAATTCAGTGTCCTAGGAGTCAGTACTAACAAGACAGATCAAGCCTCTCTATACTTCTGGATGAGACAGATGATTAAAAAAAATTAGTAGTGGAAATGGTTTATAATGTTAAAAGTTCATAGCATTAAATATTGGTGTGGAATGTAAATTAAATTACCAAAAAGATTTCACATTTATTTTTATTGAAGAATTTGCAATTGATGAGATATCAACACACTCTATTTCTTCATTTTCTACAAGATTATAATAAAACAGAGCTTGAAGACATACCCTATAATTATTATACAGATATAATAGTTGCCAGAATCTATGCAGAATGGTCACTGAATAATGTAAACTGATGAGTACAAATTATGGAGAAGTTAAACAAAGGGGAAAGATGAAAAACAATATGTCCTTATTTGCATGCTAGCCAATGAGAATTCAACATTGCCATCAACATCCGTTATGGAATATCCCAGTCTATGGCAGAGACACAGTGTACGAATAGGATTCCATTGGGACTAGAAGGAAATATCAATATTTTTCATAAAGTCAACATTGATCCCATCTGTTGGTGTGCTTTCTTGTTTTCCTGCTTGACAGAAAATGAAAAGAAACAAGACTTTTATGCACATTCAGAGATCACCTGCACACAGAAGTTAAGGTCAGAATATTAAAGACTCCCAAGCAGTGATATTAACGTGGCTTGTTGCTTTTTTCCAGACATGCTGAGTTCACTCCTGAGCATTCTTTTCACCCTACTAGTAATAGGATTTATTGTAGGGAATTTTGCCAATGGCTTCATAGCGCTGGTGAACTGCGTTGACTGGGTCAAAAGACAGCAATTCTCCTTGTTGGATCAAATGCTCACTGCTCTGGCGGTCTCCAGAATTGGGTTGCTCTGGATAACATTAACGAGTTGGTATGGGATTGCACTGGATCCAGCTTTATATAGTTTTGAAGTCAGAATAATTGTTCATGTTCTCTGGACGGTAACCCATCATTTTAGCCTCTGGTTTGCTACTAGCCTCAGCATATTTTATTTGCTCAAGCTGGCCAACTTCTCTAGCCTTAAATTTCTTTACCTAAAATGGAGAGTGAAAAGGGTAATTCACATCATTTTGTTGGGGAGTTTTATGGTCTTGGTTTCTCATCTTGCACTGGTAAGCATCAGTGAAAATACGTTGGCAGAGGATTATGAAGGAAACACCACTTGGAACTCCCATTTGAGGCATGATGTATACCTTTCCAACCTCATTGTGTTCACCTTAGTAAATTTCATCCCTTTTACTCTGGCCCTGATAGCTCTGCTGTTGTTATCTTTTTCTCTGTGGAAGCATCATAGGAGGATGCAGCTCGGGGCCAGAGGCACCCAGGACCCCAGCACCAGGGTCCACGTCAGAGCCTTGCAGACCGTGGTCTCGTTCCTCTTGCCGTTTGCCTGTTACATCCTGTCTCTAGTCATCTCAGTTTGGAGTTCACCAAACTTACGGAATAAACACACCGGCTTGTTTTGTCAGTTTCTTGGAGTCCTGTATCCTTCAAGCCACTCATGTATCCTCATCTGGGGAAACAAGAAGCTAAAGCAGGCTTTCGTGTCATTTCCGAGGCAGCTGAGGTGCCGGCAGAAAGAAAGGAAGAGGGTGGGAGCTCTGGCATCTTCGTGCAGAAAACAAATTGGTTGAGTGTAGCACCTTATATTCCTACTGCTTCTTATAATATGTAGTATTTGAGTGACTCCTGAAAATGTATATAGAAGTCTTTTGCCTAAGCTCATCTAAAACCTACATATGTGTGTTTATGAAATCTGTGATTGTAAGATGTAGCAAAATAATATTACAAAATATTATTAGAAATTTCTCAGAATGATAAATCTATGTGTTCTTCACATATTGATTCTTTGTCATCATTTTTCAATACAATAATTTATTTAAGCTTATGCATTATATATTTTTTAGATTTATTTATGCTATCAGAATTGGAGTACAGGCCAGAGGTGCAGGGGCGGTGAGAGGATTCACCAGAGACAGTGGGGAGCAGAACAGGCAGATCGTCAAAGTACACTGCTGAGGGGAGCAGAGGGTGGGTCAGGAGAGGTCTGCTGTGCCATGTGGGTCACCTTCAGGGCGGGGGGTTGGGGGGGTTTGAACTCATGCTGAGGTGGCTTTAGCTTCTAAATGCTGTGCTTTAATCCGCTGCGCCACTAGGGAGGGCCACTGTTTATGCATTTTTTAAGAAATGAAAACAGATTTCGGAGAATCATCGCTATTTTTCATTGTAATTACACCACACATTTTGTAATATCGCATCTTTAATTTTTTTTTTAATTTATTTATTCATGCATACAGAACTGCAGTACAAGCCAGAGGTGCAGGGGCGGGGAGAGAATTCACCAGAGACAGAGTGGGAAGCAGAACAGGTAGACTGACCAAGTATACTGCTGAGGGGAGCAGCGGGTGCGTCATTCTAAATCATACATTGAGGGTGGATGTTCGAGAAAGATGATATTCCATCATGAGTTTTTACTTTATAGCTTAAAGCAGTAAGAAGTGATGTTAGGATGGTGTTGAGCAACTTCAATGTTCTGATTCAGTTAGGAAAGTCCTTGTCCAGTTTTTGAAGTCAGAAGATAGTCTTTGAAGTTAGAGCTGAGGTCAGATTATTCATTTTTCCTTTAACAACGAATTGCCAATCCTCTCGCCTAGCTTGCTAGTTAAAAATTCCTTTTAAACATCAGTAAAATGACTCAATTCTTCCCTATTTAAAAAGCTCAAGTTAAAAAAAAACTCAAGTAAATCAATGGTTAAGACATAAACAAGTTACAGAAAACATTTTTAAAAGTTCAATCTAACTTAAAAAGTATGTATATAATTCCATGACCTTTCGCATATATTTGCATGGTATTATTGTCAAATTAATAGGAATATCAAGATCTATTTATTATAATTTTGTTGGAAATGATGAGACGGAAAGCATGTTGACATGTTATGTTGACATAACAAATTTTATTCTAAGAAAGAAAAAGTGGAACAACTTAGTTTACATGTTTCTATTAGTTATTAATTTTATGAAATTTGTAACATCTAATCATTAAGAGAGAGCATCTTCACATTTCATTTTGTCATTTATTTTCATTTTATTTTTTAAAGAATTTATTTACTTAAGCATACAGGAACCAGGGTATAGGTTAGAGGTGCTGGAGGTGAGTGGATTCACCAGAGACAGAGCAGGGAGCAGAACAGACAGATTGATGAAATACACTGCTGAGGGGAGCAGCAGGCGAGACAGGAGAGGTCTGCTGCGCCATGTGGGTCTCCTCCCTGACCAGGGATCAAACTCATGCTGCAGTGGCTGCAGATAGCTTCATAGTGCTGAGCTTTAGTCCTCTGGGGCATCAGGGAGGTCCCTGTCATTTATTTTTAATCATGTTATCTCTTTCATTAGAATATTAGTCCATAATGTATAATCATGTCTGTCTTGCTAATGTTAATTCTCTAAATCATAAGACTGTCCATGGAATAGGGTCAAAATGACAAAATAATGGATGAATAAACTACACAAGGTCTGGGAAACCAATAAAAATGAAACCCATCACCAAGTCTGAGTTTGTATGGATTTTTGAATCTGTTTCTTCACAATTCAAGTGTCTCTAAACAAATCTTTCCACTCAAGATCAAGGACTGTATAGTGCATCAAGAAAATGCAAACACTAGTAGGTGCCAAAATGTGAAGATAGAAATATAATTTTCTCTTTCTTTTATTAAAGATTTATTTATAAATATAGAAATGGGGTATAGCCAGAGGTGCAGGGGTGGTGAGAAGCTTCACCAGAGACAGAGTGAGGAGCAGAACAAGCAGACTGACAAAGTACACTGCTGAGGGGAGCAGTGGGCTGGTTAGGAGAGAGCTGCTAAGCCATGTGGGTCACCTCCAGGGCGGGGATCAAACTAGCACTCAAGTGGACACGGCTTGGCTCAGCTTCACAGTGCAGCATTCCAACCCACTGCGCCACCAGAGAGAGCCCTAATTTTTATTTCAACAGTTCAAGTGTCTCTGAAGTTTCCTCTGTGCGGTTACCTGAGGAATCAGGCTGACCAAGCATACACACATTCCTGCATGGTTTCACTGACATGTGGAAGAGAAAGAAACACAGCAAATGGACAAATAAGCCAAAAACAAAGTCCTGGACTATCAAACAGTGCTCACGAGAGAAGGTGGACAGGGGAAGGGTGATGGCTACACTGGAGCCAATGGGTCAGTTGTCCGGTGAGGGCCGGGAGCTAGATGTGTGGGAAGAGCATCCTGTAGAGTCACAGCTGTTGATTCACAATGTCATACACATGAACACTATCCAATATTACACGTTATTTGAATTCAAATTGTTAAGTAATAAGGAGGAGCTCTCCTCGGGGTGTTGTCCTCCTGGAACCCCAGTTCTGCTCTTTTCCAAATGCCCTGGATGTTTTGGCAACAGCACCCAAGCCACCCAACCCCGTCTGCACTTTTCATCTTTCAGAGCTTCTCACTGTTACTCGGCAACCGATGCAGAGAATCTCCTGCCTACTCACTGGCAGGGTGTTCGTACTTCTGCTCTGGGGTCCATCCTTCACATCTCTTTCTTTATCACCTTTGAAATTTAGAACACATGCAAGCCCTTCTCTTTCTTTGGTAGCTGGTGCTGACTTTATTTCATTGGTCCCTTGCTTACTTTTTTTTTACCTAGTGAAGGAGAATGATTGTATGATATTGCTCACCCCCTCTCCCCATTTTGACCACTGTATGGATAGGGCTGTCTGCAGGGAGGGTCATGGAACAGATGTTTCTGGGGAAGTAGGTGAGGGTAGAATCTGAAGGTGCCTGTATTAATGGAGGAATGTGATAGAACTGGAAGAAGCACAGAAGGAGTATTCTTATTTTGTGGATGAATGCATTCAAACTCAGGGATTGTTTTATGGAACAATAGAGATTTCATCATTTTCTTTAGGTACAGAAAAAAAAATCCCAAATACTGAATATTTATATTAAAACTATGTAGAATAAATTTGAAGTATTTTAAAATAATGCCTTGACAACTCTCAGAGCATTAAGCATGAGATAGATGTATAATAACTGTCAGTGGAGAAATGAAAAACATTTATTATTGGAGTTCAAAGAATAGGAGATTTCTAACCAGCTAAACTTGGCTGCATGTGTATATGTTGTGCATGTGCACACACATAAAGTGATAAATTTATTTGCAGTACCCAGTATTCTAGGAATAATTGCTTCTACTTTATTAGAAAATTTGGATACTTTGCAGGAGAGCTTTTACATAATATATGACTAAGGTCCCTGTGCAGACACCTAGCTTTGAAGTGTTTAAAAGATTCTTGTTGCCTGTTACATTTGTTAGAATTTTGTAATATTACCTGTCCTGAACTCAAGTGGGCAGATTCAAATATTGAGAAAACAGAAGTGAGGGTCATGAAACTGCATATATGTTGATTTGCATGTTAGCAAATGGGAACCTAGCTTCCTTCACCAGCAGCTATAAAAGACTTCAGCTACAGGGGGCACACAGAATCTGCTGTGATTTCTAGGGTTCAGCTGAGTTGTCTAGGAAACTACAAAGATTTTCCTGCAGAAAGCCATAAATGCATCCATTAGCAAATCTTGATGGTTGCTGATTTGAGATGACAAACACAATTTTTTACAAGAGAGAAAACAGTTGTGTTTTCAAGCATCAGATATACAAGTATTTGAATGAATGAATAAGCCTTTAGCAGCTATAGTAGACTTTGGAGTATTCTCTTCCAGACAATGGTCAGTGTCTTAGACAGCACGCTTGTGGTCATTGTAAGTGCTGACTTGTCATTGGTAAGCTAGGAAACAGCTTCATAGCCCTGGTGAACTGCATCGACTGGGTCCAGACAAGAAAGATCTTTTTCATGGACAGATTTCTCATGGCTCTGGCAGTCTCCAGAATTGGTTTGCTCTGGGTAATGTTAATGAATTCGTATGTATCTATGTTTAATTTAGATTTTTTTATGACTCAAAAAATGTTAACGACAATTGTAATCTTCTGGACAGTGAGCAATCATTTCAGCCTCTGGTTTGCTACAAGCCTCAGCATCTTTTATTTTCTTAAGATAGCCAATTTTTCTGACTCTATTTTTCTCTATCTCAAGTGGAGAGTTAAAAAGGTGGTCTCCAGGCGAGAAAATAACAAGAATAATGAACAGCCATATACCAGAGA